AGCGCAGTCTCTGCCAGGCTACTGCTCGGATCAAGGGTCTAGTAAGGGATTTCAGGGGGGACCCCACACATTTTGTTTGCTTTTTTGGGATATTGGGGTTCCTCCTAAACCTCCTACCAGCCCTTAAGGGTCTGGTAAGATTGGGGGGAGCCGAAACTCTGTTGGTTTTTTTTTTTATTATTCCTGTGGTCTGTCAACAATTGTCTGCTTTCTGTAACAGCTCTCTGCTCTCCGGATGCTCCCGAATGTCAACAAAGAGGCGGAGAGCTGTCATGGGATAACACCCAGCTCTTGGTTCCATTCCAAATGACATTCGGGAAACATTTCGGATGCATCCAAATTTTTTTATCAAATATTCAGATACATTCGGATTTGTTATTTCTGTCATTCGAGAATTCACACGCACCCGAATGTCCGAATATGCAGAAATTTGTACGAATGTCAATTGGGAACGAAACGTATCGCACAAATGTCCACAATAGACTTCTGGCATTGAATCCATGCAAAGTTATTGTGTGTGTGTTCCAGTGAGTGACTGAATGAATTCAACAGCCAGTCGCATGAAAGAAAGATTAAGTTATGTTCAACATTGAAGACATTTAGGGGGCACGCAAATTCTATTGAGCGGTTATGGGCAGAAGTCGTAGCTGATGATACAAACAGTATAAATAGTAAACATGGTTATAACAGTATAAAGGAGTTGCAAGAGTTTATGTAGGAATGCGCAATAAATACTTTCCTTGGAAAGGTGACTGACGGCTTGTCCTCTGATAGCCGGGATGTGAAATCTGTCATATGAGGTTATTATTTACAAGCTTCCATGGAAAGATGAAGATTTCCATTAAAAGATTATAGGGTCACATTAAACAAAGCCGGAGGGCAAGTCATTATTCAGCATTGTTACTTTGTGTGTGCAGAGACTTATACATTTCTTTATAGATATGCATACCAGGAAAAGTGAAGCAGGAAGGAAAATAAACTGATGAAATACATTTGCACAGATGTTATCGCCACATTTTAATAGGATACATGCAGGACATACACTGATATTGTTTGCGTCTTTATTTTTTTTCTAATATAGAGTTTTCCATTAAAGGAGAACTAAGGGGTCAGTGTTTTCCCCCTAGTTCTTCTAAGGTCACGGGAGGACATAAACTAGCGTCCTCCTGTGACCCAAAGCCCAGGATATCGCTAGCTACAGCTCGCGGTATACTGAGACCACTGCAGCCGCATTACTGTCGAGATCCACCCAGCTGCGTGAGTGACAGTCGGCTCTGCCTATCTAGAGGCAGAGCCAGCTGTACCCGCCCCCTCCCCAATCCATTCCACCAATCCGTGCTCTGCATGTTCGGCTGAGCTGAAGTGCAGAAAGACTTCAACTCAGCCGATCCAACATCTGGATCACCTGAGTCGAAGCTTCGGCAGCTCACTCGCTGCCGTTCGCCCCTATTCTCATAGGGGCCGAACGGCAGTAAGTGAATAGCCAAATGCCGCCCAGTTGTCATTGTTTAATGACAGTTTAGCGTCCCCAGGTCATTTGTCATTACAACTGGGCGGAGCCAGCCATGAAATCACGGCTGGCTCCGTCCAGCTGTTATTTGCGAGGTGTTCGGCCGGCCTTTGGCCTGCTTCGACTGTCACTTCGGCTCAGTCAAAGCTTTGGCTGATCCTTCGGCTAGCTTTGTGAATAGACCCCTATGTCTTATTATGTGGGTGTGCTTATTTTTGGAAAACTCTGGCTGGTAGTGAATAAATAAGACGTAGTCACTGCTGGTTTGTTTGTTTGTTTGAATGCACGCTGTGATGCAATGATTGTTAAAGGTGTAACACAGTATAGTAAAAAGTTCAATTCAATAAAAAATTGCAGCAGGTTAGACCTGTGCTGTAGCGCAACACAAAAGCATGTACCCTTGTGGCTGGTCCTGCATCGTACGTGACCGAAGTGAATAAACCCCTAAAAAATGTGTTTTGTCTGGTTTTTTTTCTTTCGTTTTTCACATCCATCCAAAATGTTTATCCAAATTTTTCTTTCGGAACAAAGTCACATGACCTTGCCTGTATTGCAACCCCCAACAGCCCCCTCCAAAAAAAAAATCAGATGCATCTGAATGTCTTCATTAAATGAACGAAATGAAAATGTATATGTCTAGTGAATAATTTCGGAGCGCTGGCTGTCTGGGGACCAAGAAATAAAGTAAGTATTCCTCTTTACTGTATTCTCCATGGACCAGAGCAGGGCAGTCCGTATAATGCAGCTTGAGGCAGTTGCCTAAGGTGGCATCTCACTGGATGGGGGGGCAGTGATGCTCTGAGGCTTCCCCAGACCCCCTGGCCTGTTGCCAGGAGCTGAGCAGGACACTGTGGCTTACATCTCGCCTAGCTCCTGGCAACCAGTGACGTCAGTGAGTTGGGCGGGACGCCAGACAGCACCTACGAACAACAAATCAGCACAACAACCATGCACCCTCCCCATGACTATTCTATGCCAGCATCCCCCATCGTAACATCACATCACCTCAGGCGGCAAAAATCTTAGGGACAGCCCTGGACCAGAGACCCTCGTAGTCAGAAATCAATTTGGGGACAAATTTTTGCAAAATCAAAATTTTTTATTTTTTTTGCTCAACAAAACGTAAACTTTAAAAACGGATAATTGCACAGAGCTCAAAAAATGGTCGTGTGCAGCTGCATCATGATAACAACAAGGACAACCATTTAAAGTAAGAGGCCACTTGTAGAAATCAGGGACAGCTGGCAGTAATGACAGCCTCCAGTGCATTCAGAAGTCATCTACAGGGGTCTGTTTCATGTACAGCATAGATTATACATCCCCCAGGAGAGGGACTGAAGCCCCCCTCTGCCTTTGTCTGTAATGGGACTCCTCCTCCTCTGCATGGAGCTGACACACAGCTGAGCTTTGCAAACACACACACAAGGAGGAAACAACTAACATTTTATTATTTTCCATGGAAAGTCTGCCCACATCTTCTGCTGAGTACAAATAGAGGTGAAAGACAATCCCCAACTGGCACTTCGTGATACCGGACCATGGAAGACACCGAGCCAGGGATGTCCCCCTTCAGGTAATGTGACATTGTGACAATCTGTGATTTGACAATGTGACAATGTCTTTGTTTATACAGCTGCTACTATGTCATGACACAAGCTTCTGTGTTATCATACTGCATGTTAGTCATTAAATCATGTGGTGTAATAAAGGGAGTGCAGTGTTTAATACTGTCATTTATTTTATGTATTAATTTCAGGAAAAATCATATTTGTTAAAATAGTTTTTCCATTTTTTTATGTCTGGTAAATATGAAATGTTGCCTATGAAAAATACATTTCCATCTGTTCGAGTTGTAAGCTCCTGCTCACATGTCTACCTGGCTAGCCTTAGCTGCTCAGCTTTATATTTTCTTTCATATGCAAACGTTAATTAAAAAATGATACACAATTAAAAGAAGAACATTTGTTTTATTTGTAAATAAAGTTGCCATGATATGTATTAGAAATGTCATTTTAACTTTATCAGAAGCAGATCGATT